AAAAAAAAAAAACAAACAGACAACATACATGTACGCCCAAAACAACTCAAACAACAAAAATGTATATTTGAGATAACAAACAAACAAACCCATCAATCAGCTGACATACCGACAAACCGACCATCCAGCCAATCAAAAAACTACAAACTCATCAAACAATCTATAGACTTACAAACCCACAGGTTTTCAAAGCTGCAATGTATACACTATTGTGAAAAACATTTGCAATACTTGCCTTTCACAATTCTACCAGTTCTTGAATATTCCACATAGTTTTCCTGTTCGAAACAAGTTGTATTAATACATGSTAAATATTGATATTGATACAAAATTGAATTCTCTCAAAATATCAGTGGMTCTCATCTAAAATGTGATAGAAAAAGGACAACGAAAAAAGGATATTGCTACGTCTGCAACTTCATCAAGTAAACTATTCAACATGTTGTTCAAAATTAATAAATTTTGCAACAATTCAGGACACTTACTGTTTGTGCAAGGAGCAGTTCCTTTGGTGGTGCTTCCAGGTGCTCTTCTCCACCATACTGTAYAAAGAAAACAAACAAAATATAGAGATAAATATTCCTAATGCCGAATGGAAACAAAATCTAATTACACCAAAGAAAATTTCCAAGCCATTAACTACATTGTAGGCGTGTGTACACCACCTCACCATCGAGGTGTCAATGAGAGTTCATGTACTGCAGAGGTGATTTCTAMAAACATCTAACAACCTCAGTAAAATCACTATAAATACAGGTCATTTGTGGACCCCAAAGTGTTATAGTACAATTGCACATACAGAATTGTCTTGAATACACTGGTTGTCTTTTTAAGGATCAAATGTTTTCAAATTGTTTTTGCATGTAATATACTGTACAAGTAGTAGAGGTGCTGACAATAAGTTATTTCTATGTCCAACATTAATTTGAGGTGAAGTCCAGTTGTACAATAATGTCCAAAGACCTTTTCTGGCATACAAAATCATGRTGCATTGTGGTGTAGCTTATGTACAAACAACGCCATATTTGGCAGCATGAACAAAAGATGTTTGTACCAAATCTAGACCACAATGCAATAATGCAAACTGCTATCTCAGAAATGATATAGAAATGAAAGAAAGTTATAGTGCTTAGAAGGAGGCAAWTCCGGGAGAAGTCCMYYAKRAATAAATTCGGAAAAATTAATTTCCGACCTCGCTGGGATTYGAACCCACGACCTTCGGATTGTACACCGATGCTCTACCAGCTGAGCGACAAGGCCAGACTGGGAGATGGCCTATGATATCATGCTTTTTAAAACAATCAACTGGCTAATAAAACGTACATGTACCAGTACACCAAAATGAAATATGAACAAAGTTTCACACCTTTTCAAGAACTGTCTGTTTCTTTTCTTCTTCAAAATCTCCTTTCTTTACTTTGTATTCTTTGTGAAGTAGTTCGAGTTTTGTTGGGTCAACTTGCAAGTGAACATCAGCTCCTTTTTCATAAGCCTCCCATGCAAATACTACACAACAATTTGTCAATATTACAAACAAGAATATACTGTGCCAATGGAATTTCATTGCTCAAGCTCATATAACATGATATTACGTTGACATACAAAATATCAGTTTATACTGACAATGTGTTGTCATAACATGTACAAAGTGTGATGAGTAAACTTTCAAACCCAGGCCAATTCAAAAGTGAGTGGTTATTGAGCTAAAAAGCTAAGAGAGCATTTTCAATCGTTTTGTCTTGGAGTTATTTTGGTAACGCGATGCTAATTTGCATTGATCATTTAAGCGACTTTGTCACACTTAAAGTGAAGAATCCAGGGTAAATATTTTGAATGTACCCAAGAAATAAGCCTAAGAAATTGTTCCTTATATTAAACAAATACAATCTTCTTTAATATTTTTGATATATAAAACGGTTTCGGCATGATCCTTACATGTATGTTTAGAAGTTTGGTGGCACGATACTCAATTTAATTACTAGTTTGCTTTTGCCTTTTGAATGAAAAACAACTCTTTAAAGTATCAATTATCAATCTTAACAATTATGTCTCCAAGATGAAATTCATCATACACCGCACGTTAAATAAACAGATTGTAATTGCATACGAAATGCATGGATCACGGAAATCAAGCAGTGGAATTTAAGCACTTTAAAATCAAAGAAAGCTGTGTTCGCAAGTGGCGATCAAACAGAGAAAAGTTTATTTTCCGTCTTTTTTYCCCTCAAAAACGTTCCTAAAACTCGGGGTGCGGCTTATCTGCGAGAGCGGCTTATACATGGGTAAATACGGTATACCACAAACACTGAATGCTGCGACAATTGTACAAAGAGACTTTTCTTGTTTTGTTGCTATTCATTATGGGAATGGTTTGCAATGATTTAAAATAAGAGGAAGACAAAGAAGGAAACAAGGAAGTAAGAAATGAGGAAAAGAAACTGAAGGCATCCATGTTACTCACATTGTGTTTGTGCCATCTTTGACGTGTCACCACTGTATCTGACAAAGTTATCACCTGCATATGTGACCCTATAAAAAGAAAATTGTAATATTTGTTCCTTAACAATTAAAAGTAAATCCTGGGATGCTTAAAGAGAAGAAAGAACGCCCAAGCTTAATATTTCTAAGACTTCATTATTATCAACATGTCCTTCCTTGTGTGGAAGCACAGCAGCCTAACAGTGCTCTTCCTTGAAACCTTTTTCATTAATGATAAAATATACATGTAGGTTGTAATCTCTATTGTTTCAATTTTATTGCAAACCAAAGCAATCCTTGCATGCACCTACTAATAATGTCACTATGACATGATATGTTTCTAAGGATCACCTAAATTATCTCTTAGGTACATGTACATATTTAAAGGCCATAGCCATCGTAGCCTGACAACTACAAATATCATGGGGCTATTACGCAATTGTTTTTTTACATGAATCAACATGAAAGAATCAAATTGAGAACTGGGAAAACTAATGTCCTTAACTATCAGGGCCTTCTTCACTTACTGTTTTGATTGATCATTGTCCTGGAAAGGGTTTTGTCTCATGGATCGTGTTTTCGGGTCATAATAGGCTGAGTTCAGATCAAGATTGTATAGATACTGTGAACAATAAACCATCAATTTTAGTACATGATATTACTGTATGTACATCATTATCCTATGAGCAGTGTATTGTTTACCTTTGCTGTGTCTTCACGAATTCTTAGATTTCTCACGGTTGTCCGCCTACAAGCAAGATTCATTGATGTTGATTACTTATACTMATTATACCTGTACACTTAATACGACTTAAAATTAAATCTGAAAAATTACAATTAAGGAAACATTCTGTACTATTTCTTTAAAATCCTACCCAATTCCACTATCAATTTTTTTTGCATGTTCTTACATTATTGTTCTTTACATTCATTACACCTTGACAGCTTTTTGAATCCCAACCTCCCAAAAAAAAAGAAAACTCAATAGCATTTAAATAATATTCTAAAAGATGCTTGCAGATACATTCAGTTATAAAACATTAGGATTTTTTAGCCAAAAATCATCATATTGGACTACAGGCAATCCTACAAGTAATGTAATTGATAGCATGTACAGTATAAAATACCTTTTTGTATCAAACTTCTGTCCAGGCATGTCAGCATGATCAGCATACTTATCATCATCACTATCATATTCCTGACAACAACAAAAACAAACAAAAAATCATCACCACTCAGTTACGGACATACAAAATGTACTTTATTTAACAAATAGATCTCATTTTTCCGTGCGTGTCTACTCTAATAGATACACAGATGATGTCAAAATGTAGTGAGAACAAAAAAGTACGCACGAGACGCAGTCGAGTGTGCGTGACTGTTGTTCTCACTACATTTTGACGTCATCTGTGTATCTATTAGAGTACACACGCACGGAAAAATGAGATCTATCTGTTTTATACAACAAACAATTAGTTTTGACGTAATCCGTGTATCTAGACTTTGATAACACACGAAAGCCAACCAATCAAAACGTCTGATTTTACTGAAAAGTTGTATAAAGTGTACTATACAACTGTCAGCAATTGTATTATCAATAATCATCAATAAAGATAATGTTATACCTTTTCAGCTGGTAAACCTGTTGCTAATTCTTCTTCCAGTTTTTCTCCTTTCAGATGTTGCTTTGCCTGTGAATGGCAGTAAAATCATRACACCTCACAAAGATATACAGTATTTACAGGTAAGTGTTTAAAAGCTGCAAAATAATGGAATGCTGCTCTTAAAACACTGCACACATTGGACTAAAAMTATCATCCATGAATGGACAGCACATTCATGGCACAGCTTTAAGATAAAAATAACAAAAAAAAGCCCTATGCAACATAGCCTCTCTCACAGGCGTTCATAGTCTCGCCACGAAAATTCGTTCGTGGCGAGTGAATTTTCGTGGCGAGATTAAGAATGCCTGTGAGAGAGGCTATATGCAACAAGCATTAGACTCAACTTGCAAAAAAACGATTTTAAAAATATATTGATAAATAAAGGGATAATGAATAAACACCCTGGAATAAATAGGAACTTCACAATAGCTAAAACTAAAGTCAACTACATTTACGAACTTCAAAATAAAAAAGAGTTCTTCTACTAATAATAGTATTTTGCTTTCTAGACATTCCTGTGCAATGCACAAGCATGAAGCAATTGTTCACAGTGTTACATAGATGGAACAAATATACACTGTAGCAACTACATGACACAGAGATATTTTGCATACCAGCTCAATTTTGTCAAATTCTTTTGCAATTTTCTTGTGCTCATTGACATCATAACCATTCCATCTAAACAAGAAAGACAAAACAAATTAGAAATACAAAAAAGGAAACAYAACAACATWCAAGTGACGTCAAAGCAAAAAGTTYCAAACATTGTGTAAGGGTTAAAATACCTATCACGTTTGCCATCATAATCCAACTTTAATAATTTCTGGTGATATTCATCTGGCTTTATGTCTTCTCCAGTAAACCTTGCACCAACTCTTCTTGGCCGTTCCACACAGTCCTTCTTTTTGTGTGTCATAGCTCCACAGTTYTCACAAGCACCTTTTCTAAATTTTAATGACACTTTATCCTGAAAGAATAATGTAATTTATATGTAATTTATTGAAATTGCCTTAAAGCTCAATGTCTCAATTTTTTAATCATGAATTTAATTTGATTTTTGTATTGGGAATGGGAGGGAAGGCGAGAAAGAAAACCTAAAAAACTGTACATTTGTTTATATTAATTATAATAAGTGCTACCCTGTGATGTACTGTCTTTTTTTCTGAATAACATGTCTAGCAGACTTTTTGAGTGACAAAAACATATATGCAGAGCTAAACAACAACAGGATAATACAGCAATGGTCAKGATATKTTTCAGAGAGCTGGAGAGGGTAGAAAGTTTTAGGAGCCTTGGCTGGAAAAAAGAAGACAGGTCACTGATGTCTAGGTGATGTCTTAGGGACAAGAGCAGAGGAGGAACAGTTTAAATATACAGTGTAGATCTATAGGTGGATAAGATCTAGGAATGTCAGGTAGAGAGGATGGGCAGCAGGCCTTGGATAGGGTTTTTTAAATTAGAGGCAAGGAAAGAATACATGTATGTAGGGTCAGCTACTGTAAAATGTAGTTTTCTAAGGCAGGCCTTGGATAGGGTTTTTAAAATGAGAGGCAAGGAAARAATACATRTATGTAGGGTCAGCTACTGWAAAATGTAGTTTTCTAAGGCAGGCCTTGGATAGGGTTTAATGAGGTAAAAAATCCAAGGGATAAGAAAAGAGTAGGGTCAGCTTCTATACAATGACTGTATTTCTTAAAGTCTATTTTAGATATAGCTATATAGTCATGACAAACAAGGAAAATAATGTCACTTACTGAAGAAACTCCTCTCCTGTACCATGATGAGATCCCATCAAATTGCTTTTGTTTTTCTGGTTGTGGTCTTTGATGTTTGAGTGTTGGTCTGTGAATGCAATAATTTGTAGTTACATGTACTTACATTCATGTAGATGAAAAACATGTTTTATGCAAACCATRGCATGAATAAAATATCTTTTATACTGAATAAAAAGCTACATGTACCAACCCCCTCACTTTTCAAATCTGGTGATTTGAGATCTTATTTGTGGAGCCTTAACCTCGAAAGCATTTACATGTAATATGTTCTTTTACTCAGCMGAAATCCTATTGTAATGCAAAAACTCTGTGTACAAAGAAGACAATAAAAATGTATGCTTGAGTGAAGCTAAGCTTGYACAAAAGAGAATTTGAAACTGATGTAATAATCACCCACTCTTAATTTGCGAGACAAAAAAGGGAAAGGGAAAAGGTGTTGGGTGCTAATCGTCCTTCATGGCAGCACGGGTACTGAATTGCGAAAGACGCAGCTCGACGCACTATCAAGTCGAAGTGCTATATTACAGACACATTTTTACATACACTTACACATAGGCGTGCTGCCTGCTAGGCGCTTCCTTTACATAGCAAAGAACGACTGAACGCGGAGTACAGCAGATAGAAATGGTTCGTTTTTACTGAGGGAGGAAAACCCGGAAAGACCCGGAAAAACCCTCGACGCAAGGGAGAGAATGAAAGAAACTCAAATCACATATGGCGCCCCGACCAAGATTCGAACAGGGTCCACAGAGGTGACAGGTCAGCGCTCTTACCGCTCGGCCACCCATGCGTCCCTTAGAGCGGACAATAAAAACAAAAATCTAGTGACTCCCAGGTTATCTAGTAGAGCTGCCAGATATACATGTCTGCATATGCTTAAAGGATATTTACGATGCATTTTACACACACACCTAATAATTGCAAGAATGTTGACACTTGAAAATAAAAAAAAAAACACTTTAGAGAAACAAAATGCTCAAGCAGAATGGTCTATAATACAAAGAGACTTGTTTAACTTGGTAGAATTCTTTTTGTTTTCAAAAMMTTAGTGACAAYGTGATCGCAATTAATACTTTAAATGTGTCACTTTAAAAATCAAACATTAATACTCACCCTGATGTGTCATAATACCATGGTGCGCTTGATATATACTGTGGAATATGCGGATTAATGTCCCTGGAAGATTACCAAAACATATCGATGAGTATTTTACTATATAAGCTTATAAACTTTATATTTTCACAAACGCAGAAGGGATAAATTCGATTTGTAGGCATACAATTATGCGACGAAAAGCACGTTTATAAAGTACTGTAGCAACGCACTCACAGTTCTGTTGGTCCTATTTATCAAACTAAAACGTACTAATTGCATATTTCAGTTGACGTTTTCAGTCAAACAACTAAAGTTACTAGGAAAACGACTAAAAAACGTCGTTCATAACATTTTTGAAAAACATTCGGATATTTCCCTTTATTTAGCGAGTCCTTACTTTCCCTCTTCATCCTGAAGAGCTGGAGCAGTACCGGCTTTTCGTGCTTCCTCTAATTCTTTCTCTTTTCGCCAATCCAAGCGTGTTTTTTTCTGTGGTTCGTCAGAACTTTTCGTCTTAGTGTCCGCCATATTGATTTTCTGTGTTTACCCAGGATTCCTAGTGAGTTGATCAAACATGAGCAGGGGAGGGGAGAGAAGAATTTACTACTCCCCCCATTRGTCTTTCTCTTGTATTATCAGATCGAGGCTATATAAGTACTACACGCTCACTTCCGAGTTTAACCAAAATGGCGCAAGAAGAGCTTGTTAAAWTCTGTCTTACTTTAGGATGTTTATTGCTTTTGATTGCAGAAATATTAGCTCAACCTGAAGCCCAGGGTGTTTATCTAAAAAGAGAGCACACATTAGCGAAGCCGTACCACGGTAAGTTGTATCAAACATGTATTTCTGCAGGACTTCCTGTCCAACACATTTCCCTAGACTGCACTTTGAACTTATTTAACTTACATACTTAAAATCGAACGAACTCTTTTATTCATTGCTATTCATTTGTAATAAAAAAGAATAAACTTAAAGTATAATTGTATGTTTTATGTTTATTTTGTTTTGAATGCGTGTGTTGTGATTTGTTTCGGAGTCTAAATGGAATGAATTTTTTATGAATTTGTTCATAACATTTGAATGCAAACTCCGCAATTAGAAAGTCAATTAAAGTATACGTGTTAGTATTTCTTCGTCTATTAAATGAGGATATTTTTTTGGTTTTGTATTGAGAAATCATGCGTGTGCTGTCATTTACTAATAATAGAATTGAAGTTTATGACTTTCTCCAAATTGGAGTGAATTGTTTCTAGTTAAGATACATCGTATCGATGATCTAAACTTTTTATTTTTTTCTATAATTGTAACATTAGAAAGTCACTTTTGGTTACACTATAGAAATAAGTCTCGCTAACCACTAAGAATAGATTTAGTCGGTTTTAAAATACAGTAGAGTGCAAACATTAAATGTGTGCAACACTTTCCACTATTTACCACAAAATAGTGTATTAGCATAATTTAGCAGTATTTAGTGGTATTTATGTTGCACAGTTTTAGTGTTTGTACTCTATAAGTACTTAATGTATTAAGTAGAGTATACTACATGTACATGTACCAACACTAAAGTATCCTGCAGCATTGCTGTTAATATAGTGCTAATTAGTGCTATTACAGACTCAAATAAATACAGTAGAGTGCTCGCACTCAAAGCGTGAAACAAATAGTACTGATTACTACTAAATAGTATTGATTATACAATAGGAAACAAAGGAATTTGTATAATTTATCACGTTTTGTAGTATTTATATTTCACGCATTTAGTGCGAGCACTCTAAATAAGACCCACACTATATTAAAAACTTTTATGAGTCACTAGCTTGGTTCTGCTCATATCAGGCAAGCTTCCAACTCACCAAGTCTGTAAAATGAATAATATTCTAATGCCACACTGCTGAGCCAATAATCCAAGATTGACTGGTGAGCTAACAAGTTACCAAACCACTAAAATAGAACATCTTTCACTTGCATTGAATGAGCTGAGAAKCCACCAAATAAAGCACTTCTAGATAGTAATAAATGCATTTTTTTTTCGAAAGGACTTATGGGGCCTCTCATCATTATGTCATCGGTTTGAGTGTCTAAGTGATGTTTAACCATCCCACTTGGCCTTACTTGTGGCATATTAACACATGGGTCACATCGATTTGTCATGTAAACATGAGTAAAAAATGAAGAGAGTAAAACATGCTCTTTCATAGTCCCTACATGACAAGACAGAAAAGGATTATGGGTATAATTAATTCAGTTACTGTCTGCYGCATAAATTATTGAATACATATTCGTCTGCTCGCTGTTTTTGGACTTTGTGCATTTAATTTGTTAAGCCATGCCTCGTAAATAGGGTAAAGATTTAGGCTGTGTTAAACAAACAAACAATAAAAGAAATAAGCTTTCAATCAACTATCAAGGCTGCAATCTTGTTTCCAGTRGACAAGTTTACTGATAGATGAAGAGTAAGTGATAATTAGAATGCTGTAGCATGCATGTGCATATTAAAATTTGATGTACTTCAATAATCAAACTATCCATAGCTGGTATTAATTTTCCATTATTAAAATTTAGGGCATCGATCCTTAACAGAATATGATTTTTCATTGTGCAGTTGTTATCAAGATAGAGAATAATTAATAATTATGCATGTCAATTCATGCCCGTATTAGAACGATTTCACATAACTGGATAAAAAATGCTAATGAGGATCAATCTATGCTAATACGCGTTACACGATTTTGCATGTGGAACAACGAGGATATTGATGAACACTTTGCTTATTTGACAGTATAGAAATGTTTTGAATAACAATTAAATCATAACAAACATTCAAAATCACACTCAAGATTTGTCTTCACGACATCCTTTCTCCTCTCTTTAGGCGTCTTCTTGCCTATATATTTCATTTCTAACTCTTGTGTTGAATTATTGATCTTCTGGTTCTGGTCGTTCTGTCACAATTTCGACACCGAATTGATTTGCACTGTGCTGTGGTGTGTACTGGATCAGATATGGTCTTTTTGATTATCCCTTTCAGTCTCGTGATTAATTGGTCATTATCACTCTCAAAGTAATACTGAAACTCGATCTGGGAGGCCAGTGTTGACTATCGTTGCCTTGCACAGTGCAATAATGATATCCCAGTCATTCCCCTTGCACTTTTGGTAGCATTTCTAAGACAAACATGTGCTCAAGCTCGCTGACGTTAACTCTCTTTAGATTTTTAAAAAATGAATAAAACAACAACATAAGCAGCCAAAATTGCACAAATAAAACATTTGTTTGCTTTTACAAACATTCCAACGTGCACTCTAAGGAAAAACACTTCGTAAGGCGAAACAAAATCAAAACATTTTTGTGTCTAGTTTTTGCAAACAAGGACAACAATTTGATACAAGCTTTTCTCATCGTGTAATGTGTATTATTGTTATTGATCATCATTAGCATTTTTTATCCGGTTATGTGAAATCGTTCTAGTATGCTAAAGTTGTATTAATTCTACTGTACAAATGTCTCTTAAAGAATTATGGGAAATGTTCAATCTATAGGGATGCATTTTTTGCATTTTGCTTGTATGCTGTAGGTGGTGGTATGACAATACCAGATTGGGAGTTTCATGGGGATACCTTCATTTCTGGTGACTATATAAGACTAACACCTGACCATCAGAGCAAGCAAGGCTCAATATGGAACACAATTGTAAGTTATGAAGATTACTATATCTTTAAGGCTTTAGGCTTTATTGGTTTAG